CTGGGGATGTCCGCCCGCCGCCCGGGGTGGCGGGGGCGCCCTGCGCCAGCGCCGTGGGAGCGCTCTGCGTCTCGGGTCCCGGCTCAGTCAAGCTGCTCGATCTCTGCGGGGTGCCCACGTGCTCCCCCTCGGGTCTCTCGAGCTCTCCGCTGCCATTCTGGTCCCTGAACTTGCCCATCCTGGACCCCTTTCAGTTCCAAAATCTTCCTGGGTCCCTCTAGTACCTCAAGCAAAATTTTGCACCCGGTATCCTCGAAGACTGGCCCCAAATCTCGCACTAAATCCTCTCCTCCCTTGGCCTCCAAATCCACTGCTTCTCTCCATTTTACAACCTAGAAGCCCTTAATGTCCCTTCGTCAACCTCCTTCGCCCCGCGTGTCCCTTCTGTGCAGCTAGGCCGCTCTGAGCCATATCCGCTAAGTGGGGGCATAGTTGGGAGCCGGCCACAGGCTCCTGGGAAAGGCTCTTCTCCCAAACTGGGGTAATGATCATCGAGGGCCTAATTTTAATCCCAAGTTAAAGGTGCGCAGGGACTGAAACTAAGGGTCAGCCACTGTCCCTAAATTTAGTCGTTATGGTTATTTTTTGGCCTATTGGGGCAACGCCATGTGTATAGTAAATGGATTTTTGTTTTGTTTTATTTTTGCCAAGGTTTAATCTCTGTGGTTTAAGTAGCAAGGTATGAAGGGATGAGCTAATCCCCCGCTCCCACACCCCTCCCGGGGAGTAATTGAGGCAAGATTCAGCCTTGCTAAAGTGGTATTTAAGTGCAAGTGGGACAATTGTCATGGATTGTGAGCTAAAAAATACATCGCTTACCTTGCCTATTTCTTTCTTTTTCTTTGCTTTTCCAAAAGAAGTATAATATCAGGGGCTTTGGGGACTCAGGTCAGGCAGACCTGTACTGAATACATTTGTCATTTACTAGCAGTGAGATGGTGTACTAGTTAACTAAATTCTATGAGCCTGTTTACTCATCTTGAAAAACCATCCCTGCCCTAAAGTGGTTTATGGACTGTAATGAAGCTTCACGTAGAGTGCCTGGCTAGATATTCAATATATATATATATATTAATTTCCCAAGCCTACACATACTTCTATCACTAAGTTTTCCAAACTTTTCCATATCTTGGAAAAAGTTTCCTCCCAAGTATTTGGAAAAGTGGAAATGATCTCCCCACACACAAAAAACTCCATTTCCTCGATTCACCATACCATTAATGCTTTACGATTTTGTCTAATATTTATAACCCTCTACCCCCACCCCCACACATACACAGACAGTATTACTCATGTTTATTTTTTGTATCTTATGATGTTTTGACAAACTAAAAATCTTGCTGGCTAGGGAGAGACTGTCCTCCCAGGACTAGCTAATTTCTAAAGGTAGCAAACAAATTACTCGGGAGAACACCTCTCGTATGCAAGCCAACTGCCCCCTTTATCTAACTTTTACACACCAAGCTGATATTTCTCTTGCTCTAAATCATCCCAGGGCCCAGTACCAGGCAGCTAGATAAAACCTCTACAGCCCAAAGCCCACTATTCATTGTTCAAACTAGCCAATTCTCAGCTATTTGCTCGGCCCTACCCTGCCTTCCCTTTATGAGAAACCCCAATAAAGGCTCTGGCCTAAATTTTTCCCTTTGCTCCTGCTTCTGCCTCCTGACCAAAACCTGATTCTTCCACTGTGGCCCTGTGTGTAGTGTTGTGTCCCCTTCTCCGGGGAAATATCTTCTTTCAATAGAATTGGTTTTGTCATGTCACTCAGTGACCCCCACAAATTAAAACTCTATGGGTACAAACGAGACACTCACCAAGCAAAAAACAAAAACAAATCCCTCTGCTTACATCTCTGTACTTCAAAACGATCTACACACATATTTAGAACATTTATTGAATTAGATTCAGATCAGTTGTTCCCTGTTCATCTTTCTCACCAGACTGTAAACTCAGTCTTTTTCATCCTTGTAACTCCAGGGCCTACTATAGCATTCAACAGGTAGAAAATTTAATTCAGGTTGAATGGATCAAAATAGAGAGTTATTTCTGTTTATAAGGGAACCAGACATATATATAGGTAAATGCTCATAAAGGTATTTGCTCCTAATTCATGTTTGTCTCTACTTCTCCCTCAGATGGGCTACTTTACTTGTTTTAAGTCCAAAAGCTGGTAAGGGTTTCAAGTACACTGCATTTGCTTCTGCTATCCTATTATATTTTCCTTTCTTTTGAACTTGGTCTGGTTATAACCTAATGAGATGACCAAAAGTATGAAGTTGCCCTACTAGCATGGCTAGGATTAAGGTGAAACAAGAGAGTCACTTACCCGGGGCACAAAATTTAAGGGGGTGTCCCCCCAAAACCCTTCAATAATTAAGATAATATTTTAATGCAATATTTTAAAAAATCAAAAGTAATGCAAAAAAAAAAATCCACAATAAATAAAATACCAACATCCTAAAAAACCAGGATCTCACAGTGCTCTGTAAGCCATATTAGATCCTAAGGCCAAAGGAAAAAATGTTTACCTAAATATATGTGGCTCTCTTTTCTTTTTCTTTTTAAATGATTATACCTGCCCCCCCACCCCCCACCAGAAAGCCAGAAGGGATGCTCAGGCAGAGGACTTGTTTCTCCCAGGTGGCTGGACCCAGAGCTCCTGCCATCCTCCCTAGGCCCTCTTTCCCAAGCTGCCAGGCTCTGCCACTTCCCACTCTGGCAAATCTCATAGGGGTGCTGGCCTCTTCTGTAACAGCTCATGTCTCCCTGGGACAGGTGGTCTCAACACAGTCTCCATTTTTCTCCCTAACATGGTATGAAGCAGGGAGGTTGAGGAAGGTTGGGGGAGTAATACAGGTGAGCAGGACCCAGGAGAGACTTTTCCTGGGCTATGGCTTCCTATCACTATCCCCCCTGCCCCCCCATACCCTCAGTAATGGCTGGAAAAGGGGTAGGAAGAGGAAGCCCAGGACTTAGTTATTTGGGTCCTCTGGCCTAAGGTCGAGGGTGAGGGCTTCAGAGGTTGTGTGCCTGGATGGGAGAAACAGTCTCTCCAAGTCTGCTAATGTTTTGTTTGGAAGCTAGTTTCTAAAGGGCATAGAAGGATTTCACTAAAATAGTATTCGCTTGCCATTAATATTCCTATGGTAGGTGAGAAAGCACAAGGTTCTGAAAGAAGAGTTCTTATGTGGCATTTTAAATAAAGGTTTTCCTGTTCTCTCAGGAATAGAGATGGATAATGCCTAAGAAATAACTATACTTACCAGTTCTTTTTAGAACCCCAGTGTCACCTTGGTCTGTGGCAAAGCAGTTCTTAGCGCACAGTGCCCTGCCTCTGGGTAATTATATCGTAGCTTTGTCAGCGTCAGGGTTCCCTTGGTTGTTCTGGTAAATCCCTCAGTCATTTATTCATATCTTATCGAGTGCGAGGGTCTGGGCTAGGGACTCTAAGGGATCGAGATGAACACAGTGCGGTTCCTGCTTTGATGCAATTACTCTTTAGAAAGTGAGAGATATACTTGCTAACTGTTGGATTAGGGAGAGACAAATCCACATGGCCCTCGTGTCTCATTTTCTCCCTCATTCTCATGGTTTAACAACTAGCTGCTTCAGCAGATCTGAGTTTGCTGAGAGGCAGGACAGGCAGTCACCAGATGCCGAGCTTTAGAGGCTCCTGCTAAATGGTGGCCTAGCTGTCCCCCACCCAACCACCCTGCCATGTATAAAATGCCATAGTTTAGGAACCCGCTCTACTGAACTCTTTCTGGTTTGTGTCCAGTCTTCCTCTGCCTAGTCTAGGGTCACCTCTCAGTGGGACACCAAAAGATGAGAGTTGGCATGGGAAGTAAAATGGGGGTGGGGGTCATGTGCACGCTCCTCCTTCTCTGCTTGTACCCCATCCCTGTTTTGTATTTTATGCTGCATGGCATAGTAGTGTGTGTCCTGGGCCCCTGAATGGTAGCTGCATGAGGGTTATACCCCACTTTGTCTCATGCTAAGTGTTTTTGGAACAGGCCTTGTCCAATTGGGCCTCTCAGGGGCAGAAAACATTGTCAGGAAATTTTCATGGGGTCCCATCAGGTCACAGGGGCTGGACAGCACAAACCCTGATGTCAGCTCTCCTGGTTGTGCTGAGGCAGCTTGGGCATCTGGGAGCTCAGGAGATGAGGGGGTGGGAGGACCACGGTACAACTGCCAGACACCAGCTCCCCAAAACAAGTGCGTCGCCCCGAAGAAGAACCCTGGGCTGAAAGGCTGCTGTTGATTGGTCAAAAGGAGGCTTGCCTCTGCAGAACCCAGGAAAATTCAGGAGGATGCTCATGCTTTATGGTTGAAAGCAGGGAGAAGGATAAAATTACAGGGATGTGTGAAGATTAGAGGCTGCCACTGCAGCTCAGAATGGCAGCCAGGCTAATAGGTAGCTGCAAAAATATGGAACGGATTTCTCTGCTTCTGTAGAGCAAAATACAGACAAACCCATGGCTAATGAGAGGCCTGGAATAGATGTAAGAGATTTAAAGGTACAGTTCCAGCAATCATTCAAACTAAGTTCTGAGACTTGGTCCCTTGCTCCTCCCTTAGGTGAGACTTTAAATATTCCTCAATTTGCTAAAGTCTGTTGTTTTGTCTGGAACATGTTTTTTTTTGTTGTTGTTTTTGTTTTTTTCCAGCTTCTGTAATTGATGTGAACCTTCCAGATGCACCCGTGAGTGGACCCACCAATTGGATACATTTAAAGTGTCCCCGTTGTAACTTCTAAAATGGTAAATACTGAAGGTGTGGCCAAAATGGCCTATAATCCCCAAGTTTGCCAAGATTGCATCACTTAAACAATGTCTCCTACTAGCGGCAGAGAAAACGCAGTATTCTCATGCAAGACGTAATACAGACCAGGGTGTCAAATAATGCCCTCTACCAATGCA